ACAAACAATATATAAGTATATATAAATAAATTAATTATAATTTCAATTGTATAAAATTTATAAAAATAAATTTAAAAGTTAACTAAAAATATATATTAACATAATTAATAAATACTATAATAAAAAGTATATTAATATGTGTAAAATGAATGATTTATTTTTAAGGTCGAATAAGGAATAAAAAAATATTAAAATGAAACAGCTATTCTCAAACGTTAAAATATACCTTTTAAAACTTAGTTTTTTAGGCCAATAAGATATTTCAAAAGCTAATTTACCAAACATTAATATTAGCATTTTAATTGGCCAAACACTTAAAAACTCTTAAAAAAACTGTTTCCCAAGTACCACTTAGAATGGAGCCAAACACAATGCTACAATATAGTTAAAGCAAGTGTCTTTGAAGGTATTTTTTGCTTTTACAACGCTGCCAGATGGCTTCAGCTTCTCTTTACCCATGTCCACAGGCTTCCAATTCTTTTCAGGTTGTTCATTATTCCTCGGAGCAGTCTTAAAACAAGAGTCTTGACCTTTGTTCGACTATATCGGCCTTGCTGCCGAGCATCAGATATCCCGTACTTGCCAAGTTCGATCTATGTTCCTCTTCAGTTTATAGACCATTGATCAGTCTTGTTATGTCCATTTATTTCTGTTTGTGTTTCAAGTAAATCTTGAAATCACCCGAACTAGGCGGAAAATTTTCAATTATCGTCACCACTTGAAAGACATCACTCAGCTTCATCTCCTCGGTCTGGATTTCATGCAGAATCAGCTAAAACGCATCAAGTTGTTTCGTAACACTTTATGTCCACCATCTTGAAATACATAGACCATCCCACAATAAATTTCTTGGCACCAGTATCCTTGGTTATGTACTTCATCTCCAACATCTTCTACAGCTGCTTAGTTGTTTGCGCATGTCGGTAGACACCGTACAAAGGTTGCTCAAGCCGTTAAGTATATAATATTTGCACATAAATCTAAACATTTCCAGGCTTTCAGAATTTGTGCTTTCTAGTCTTCCAAAATGGAAAAATGCGATTCAATCAGAGTTTGACTCATTGAACAAAATGAAGATCTTGGGACCAATTGTTCAAACACCAGATGGTATAAAACAGTTGGATACAAATGGGTGTTTGTACGAAAAAGAATGAGCATAATAAAATTGTGAGATATAAAGTCTGTCTTGTAGTTCAGGGATTCTCACAGAGACCTAGAGTAGATTTTGATAAAACATACTCTCTACTTATTGATGGAATAACATTTAAGTACCTTGTGAGCCTAGCAGTGCGCGAAAAACTCGACATGCGTCTTTTAGACGTAGTTACTGTATATCTTTATAGCTCCTTGGATACTGATATTTATATGAAAGTTCCTGAGGGATTCAATATGCCTGAAACATACAAATTAAATCCAAAGGAATTATATTTCATCAAATTGAAAAAGTCTTTGTATGGACATAAACAATCAAGGCGAATGTGGTATAATTATCTCGTGAATGTTTAATAAAAGAAGATTATACTGATGATCCAATATGTCCATGCGTCTTTATTAAGAAAAATAGATCAAATTTTGTCATTATTGCAATATATGTTGATGATCTCAATTTAATTGGAACTCCAGAAGAGATCCAAATTGCAGTTGAATATCTAAAAAAAGAATTTGAGATCAAAGATTTTGGAAGGACAAAATATTGTCTGGGATTACAAGTGGATCATGTTAATAATGAGATATTTATTCATCAATCCACATATACCCAAGAGGTATTAAAACAATTTGATATGAATAAATCTCACTCTCTGAGTACACCAATGGTGGTCAGATCCCCTGATCCCAGTAAATATCCATTTAGGCCAAGAGAAGAAAATAAAGAAATACTTGTCCCCAAGGTACTATATCTCAGCACTATTGGCGCATTAAGGTACTTTGCAAATTGTACCAGACCATATATATCTTTTTTAATAATCTACTGGCCAGTTTTAGTGCATCCCCCACAAAGCGCCATTGGAATGGTATTAAGCACATTTTTCGTTATCTTTAGGGGACTCATGACTTCGGCTTATTTTATTCGAGTGAATCTCGAACTGAATAAATTGGTTATGCTGACGCTGGTTATCTATCTGATTCACATAAAGCAAAATCTCAAACTGGCTATTTATTTACTTGTGGCGGAACCACAATATCTTGGAGATCTGCTAAACAGACGATAACAGCTACTTCTTCAAACCATGTTGAGGTTTTAGCAATTCACGAAGCTAGTCGTGAATGCGCTTGGTTGAGGTCTATAACTCACCATATTCAGAAAAATTGTGGCTTGATTTCTGATGATGTATTATCTCCTACAATATTATTTGAAGATAATGCATCTTGTATAACTCAATTAAAATGAGGATATATTAAAGGCGATTAGACAAAACACATATGTCCGAAATTCTTTTTCATTCACGATCTTCAAAAGAATGTTGAAATTATGCGAAAAATCCGATCATTTGAAAATTATGCAGATTTATTTACGAAGGCGCTACCGATTGCAATATTCAACAAATTGGTACAAGGAATTGGAATGTGTCGGGTGAAAAACATCAAATGAAGTCCAAAACAGGGAAAGTGCATTAATACAAGAACGGTGTACGTTTTTTCCTTCACTATGATTTTTTTCCACAGAATTTTTTCGTAAAGTTTTAACGAGGCATATTTTTTGTACAAAAGTATCCAAGGGGAAATATTATACACATATTATATACGTTGCATCCACGTATATATGTATTTATATATGAATGCGTTTTGTACAATGCATGACTACGTATACAATAATCATAACTCATTGTACTATATATATATATATATATGTGATAAGTAATGAAATTAAAAAACACAAATTAATCCACACATTTTGTATTACTCTATCAAAGTCTCTCTCTTTATCTCTCTATATTTATTACTATATATATATATATATATATATACATCATTCCAATTACATACACTTATATTTACTACGACCACACATACATTCAGGGGCGGACTTACATTGGGGCAAGGGTGCACCCATCCCTCCCTATTTCATTGGACTTATTTACATTATACGGTCACACATACATCCAGGGGCGGACTTACATTAGGGCAAGGGTGCACCCATCCCTCCCTATTTCATTGGGCTTTTATTTAACTTTTAAATATTGAGCTCGCTCTTGCCTCATCTACTTCTCCTTGTTCCATTAGGCTTTTATTTAACTTTTAAATATATATATAATATAAAAAAATTTAAAATTAATAAAAAAAATATAATAGAAATATAAATTTCGAGTGTGAATTTTTTTAATTAGTAATTATATTAATTTTTATTTTTAAAAATTACAAAAATAAGTATTTACAATATATATATAGTTATTGATATAGTTTTAGTTTGTTATTTTGTAAATAAAAATAAAATTATTATTTTATAAATTAAAAAATATCTTATATATTTTGAAAATAAAACTTGCCCCCCTCATATTCGATCCTAGTTCCGCCACCCCATATATAATTATACTTACCATTGTTATATTATTATTATATAACATAAATAAGAAAATATATTTATTATTTCTAAACGGTGGTAGGCAACAATATTCTTATAATTAAAATAATTATTGAACACAATATTTTATATTTAAAATAAATTTAAATTTTGTATAATTATACTCCCTCCGTCTCGGATATTTTATCCGTTTACTGTAGACACGAGAATATAGGAGGGGTATTAGTAAATAATTAAAAATGTATAAGTGAAAATAATTATCGTATAATAAAAATAATTATAAATTAAGATTAAGATAATTGATTAGTATTATTAAAATTAAAAAAATTATAAATTAAATTTTTTAAAATAAAATTAAAATGTATAATTATTTTCTAGAAAAAGAAAGTGACAAAATAAGTGGACAAAAAAAAAATAAAAAGATAAATATGAAAAGTGAGATGAAAGTAGTATTAAAAAGAACTTCAAAAAACATATTCGCAGCGAATTGTCGTTGTCACACGCTAGGCATGACGTATGCAAACGTTTCGCCCCCCATTTAGTTCATGTAATAATTGTGAGTGTGTTTGTTTAGCGAAATTGGTGGAAATAGCTCTTTTTTTTTTATATATGAATTATAAAAAGTTGGGTAAAAATTATAAAAGCAATGAATATAAATAGTGTATTAATATTTTTAGAAAATTATGTAAAAAAAAAAAACAAAGCATATCTATTTGTCCTAATTAATTAATTAATTATATGATGAGAGTCATCAACTCAGTCATTCTTATCCAATATCTAAACGGGACTCATTCATTTATTTGAAATTGAATTTAATTATTCGGATATCAAGTCGGATATTGTGTATTCTAGTCGGGTGGACGATTTAGACCCAAACCCGACCTAAACCACATTTAATATACTATTATATATATATAAAAAATATTTTATAACATTATAATTATACTAAATATTTTTTTAAGTTTAATTTAGTTATTATATATTTCTTCAGTCCCGGCAAGGATGAAGCCTTTTATTTGGACATGAGAATTTAGTTAGTATAAATTAGGTATTTAGATAATAGAATTAGTTGTTTAATAATTTAAAGAAATTTAAAATATGTATTTAAATATTTTTTAACATTATATCTCAATAAAATATATATACAATATGAATATTATTTTTTAAACAATAAAATTTTATATAATATAAATAAATTAAATATATATATATATATTTATTTATCATTATCATAAATTAATTTTATAAAAAATTAAGAGTTTGAAAGATAAATAAAAATATTTGGTATGTGAAGGAAGATATAAATAAGAGCAAAAAATCAATATTGGTCCCAATCAAATTTATTTTTTTCATTTTTAGTCTCATTCAAAAATAATTATTAAAATTAGTCCCGTACAAAAAATAGTTAATCATTTTTTGTCCTATCATTATAATTTCAAAGAAATGAGCTGACGTGACATATGATTTGAAACAAATACGGCCATATTAATCATAACACGGGCGTGTTGTATCAATTTAATAAAATAATTTTGTATTTTTACAAATACGGGCGTATTAAAATTGGTTCAAACACGCCCGTGTTTAAAATAAATGAGTCTGACATGCTGTCTGCGATTCCCAGCGCAGCCGTTCCTCGCCATGGCCGATACCTAACCGCCTCTACCATGTTCCGCGGCAAAATGCGCACGAAGGAGGTTGATGAGAAAATGCTGATTGTGCAGAACAAGGACTCATCGTACTTTTGCCAGCAAAATAAATATAGGACAAAAGTGATAATGGGGTATACGTATGAGATATTTTTGTAATTTTCTCTGAAGTCGACAGTCTGCCACATCCCGTCGATGTTCTTCGGGAACTCGACTTCGATTGAGGAGCGACAGCATCTCCGATCTAATGACGGCCGTGGTCGCCGCCGCGTGCTGAAGCTGAAGCCTGTGCGGCGGAAAGTCCGATTGACGTGGCGGCGACCTTCCTGCGCCATCGGATGGACGTCGGAATTTTTGGAGGCGCTGCACTTGGCGGCGAAGAAGGAAGGGTCGAGAGGGTTCCTCAATGGTGAAGACGAAATGAACACAAGCTGCCTGGGAATCGCAGGCAGCATGTCAGGCACATATTTATTTTAAATACGGGCGTATTTAAAGTGCTTGTAAAAATACAAAATTATTTTATTAGATTAATGCAACACGCTAATGTTATAATTAACATGGCCCATGGCCCTGTTTGTTTCAAATCACATGCTCAATTCGTTGAAATTTTAACAGTAGAACAAAAATTATTATTTATTTTTTTTGTATATGACTTGATAATTATTTTTTAATAGAATCAAAAATGAAAAAAATAAATTTAATTGGGACCAATATTGATTTTTGCTCTATAAATGAATTTTTTTCGTATAAGAGATTAAAAATTTAATTAAATTTATTTGTATTTGTTAAATGTGTTTAAAATTGATAAATTTACTAAAAATAAAAATAAAAAAAATTATTTTTGTAAAATTTACAGTAAATTTTTTTTAAAAACAACTAGTACATCTACAGTACTGCGCCATTTCAGAATATCTACAAGTTGTCGAAGAACATTAAAACAACTAACTAACTAACTCAGACTAATTTCTTCACTAGATAAAAATAAACACTACCTTCATCCAAGGAAGCATATCCGAATCATCCATCAACTTATTTGTTGACGATTCACTCAAGAAAACACTTCTTCATCTCTGCAAATCCGTTTCTCTTTCGCGACAATGCGAATACGAATCGAGCATGGATCTCCCCACTCTACGCTTTCTTCTGTTTCTTTTACTCCTCCCGGAAACTTTCTTCATCGTCTTCTCAGGCACGGCTTGCCACAAAGGCACGTACTTAATCCACCATAGAGGCAACAGCGCCGCCACGAACTGTATCATGATCCCCAAAGGGAGAGTCGAGTAATTCCCAGAAGTTATTCCGAGGAATGAAGCCAATCCGACGCCAAGAAATCCACTAAATATGGACGACAAACACAGTGCAGAAGCCAAGAAAGACATCATTGATCCTTCACAACCGGGCGGCGCCAAACTCGCAAAGAGAACATGGAACGGTAACACCTTGAACTGTGAGATGATCTCTGCTAATCCCGAGAAACACAGCACAAAAATATAGTTTGGAATTCCTATCTGAGTGTTAATCTGCCAGACCAGTAGAAGATCGAGGAGAAGCGCAAATGCATACAAGATTTGCACAGTCCCGGCTAATTTTCTCAGGGGTATGCCTTTCCCAAATCGATCGTACAGTATGGCCAAGGAAAGGAGCATCAGCTGGCCAGTGACTTTCGACATCCCAATGATCGAAGGATTCAGATTCAAACACTGAGTTTGGTAGCAAAAAATTGAACCCGACAAAATAGGGATCAATACAATCGACGAGACAACCCAGATTAGAGGGCGGGAGATGCTTTCTTCTTTGATCGCCAATATGAGTTCTGAATACTGCCTCTTGATGGTTTGAGACACTGATTCCCTAACAATGCCGGAAGTCGAGAGTTTAGGTAAACCAAGAGAGTCCTCTCTTGTTTTTAGAGAGACAGTGAGCTGAAGCCCGAGCAGAGCAGCAAAGGCTAAAAACATTGTCTTAGTTTGGAGCGTCTTCGCCAGGAAAAATCCTCCGAGCAAGTTCCCAAGAACCCCACCAATGGCGGAGGCCATGAACGCGTAGGTTTGAAGGCCAGGTGTTCTGTTCTTGTGGCCATACTCAGCCACCAGAGCATCCTTAGCAACTTCTTGGATTGATGCTCCGAGGTTGCTCAAAAGAACGCACGCCATAAGAGCCGGGCGCGCTTCGCTAGCTATCGGAATCAAGGCCAATGATCCCCAAGATAAAACCTGCAACAAAACTGTAAGAAACCAGTATTACATCAGGGTCGCTTTCAGACCACTCCCGGTGGATATGATAAAACACCATTCGGACACAGGATGAATTAAAGACAAAGCCATTTCGCTTTCGAATTGTTTTCAAATCACATTCAGAGAATTATGACAGCCCTACTTGAAATCTCCACCTTAAACTAGATGAAAATCACCTACATTCAACATTCAAATCAAAGCTCAAGTAGCAGACACTGATAGAAAAGAAAACAACAAACAAGCCAAGAAAACAACAGAAATTTTGAAATTTCATATGAATTGGAATCACCAAAATGAGTTCAACTTAGCAGATTAACATAGGCTAGCAAGCCAGAATCATGAAGCAGGGCAATGACAAGGGATGGAGTTAGAATATCTGTATATGCATAATGCATACATACCTCCAATGGAAACATAAGGAATTCTATGAGCGCCACCAATGTAAAGAGCATCAGACAGAATTCCATACAAGGGCTTGGCGACCATGGGGAAATTCCCAGAGTTCTGCACAAGCTGCAATGTGGACGGATTCATGTTCAGATTGTGCGCCATGTGGAAATTCAGTGCCAGCCATGGAAACCCTCGGAATCCATTCACATAGTACCCAACTCCACACAGAACCATCATTTCCATGTTCCCCACTCCGGATTTTCTCCTCGACGCCATCTCTTTCTCCGACCTTCGATGCTTAACGCCACCGGCTCCTTCCTCCGGCCGAATGATAACCGGATTCACCAACGGCGTCTTCCTCGACCTTCTAAACTCCATAGCGCCCTTCGGATTCTGCTTCGAACAACAGATCCTAAGCTTCGAACGCCTATAATTGACGCCTGCAATCAGCGGGTTAAGGCTTCCGGCGGAAATCATGATTGCCGGACCCGCGGCGGAATTCAAGAAAGCATAGGAGATTGGGCGTGAGAGGAGCACATGGGGAAGGGTTCAATCTATATATATCCAATCCAAGACGAGGAAATCGGGGAAGGGGGAGAGGAATCTAGAAGATTTGAGGGCAGAGCAATCAATCGACCTTGTACTAGATTGATTACATTACATATTACATTGTGGGGGTGGGGTTGGTGAATCTTGGGTGAAATACTGTTCTGTTCTAGTGCTAGCAAGAAGTCCGTGGGAGGGGAGGGGAGTGTGTTGGCACTGGACTGGGAGAGGTTTCCATCGGAGGGCGATGGGTTTGTTTGTTTGGGCTTGGATGGTGATTAGGGTTTGTCTGGTGGGTAATGTAATAGAGGAGATCTGATTTGATGAAGGGTCCCAATAGCATTGCGTGCCTACACTTGTCCTCTCTCGGCTCTTCCTGGCCGAATCAATTTTCGACCGTCTTTCTAGAAATACGTGTCAACAATTTAAAGCATATTCCACTCCTTACATTTTTGCTAACAAAATATCGCATCACCACATTTTTATTTATTCATTTACTAGTCTGTAAAACCAAAAAGTTAATGTCCCATTCAATTTGTAGTTATAATTTTAAAAATAAATAATTTAATCTACATATTTGTTCAATTTGTTTAAAAGAAAATAAATAAATTAGAAAATAACTATTGTTATCTATAGACATTATTAAAAAATCTAATACAAATATATCATGACTTTCGATCAAGTGTTGATCTGATTAATGTCATAAGAGTGACCCGCGTATGTTTATACATATCTCATTATATAAAGTGTTATAAAATAGTATATGCTGAGTACTAATATAATATACGTTATATTATAAATATGCTGAAATATATATAAAGATATGCTAGTCACTCCTATAATATATCACTTTTTTATTTTATTCGAACGATAAAAATTTGGAAGCCCTTAATATTTTTAAGGCTAAAATTTATAAATAATTAAAATAAAAATTTTTGATATAATAGTAAGTATTATGCTAAATGCATATAAAGTGGACTAGTAACCACTACCCAAAAATTAAAAAATTGGTGAGACAAATTGACACGGAGTGGCACAAAACTACAAAAGTCACCACATTCGGTTCCAATTTTACTAAAACTCGTTGAATTGCTTCGTAAAACTCCTTTCATCCCCCATCTTGAAGTCTAGAAATTGTCCAATAAGGAACTTCTTTGCACCAACATCCACGGTTATATATATATATTTTTCCAATGTCTCATATAACTTCTTAGCTGGTTCGAAACGCTGGTAAACACTCTACAATGAATCGCTCAAGCCATTTAATATTTAATTTTTGCACATAAAATTTGAGTATTTTCAAGCTTGTAGAATTTGTGTTTTCTGATCGTCCGAGAATCCTTCAGGCACAACAAGTGCATCCTCTGTCAACCAGTCCGCTATATTCAACGTTATCAAATAGAATGACATTTCCTACTGCCATATTTTAAAGTTCTTCCCATTGAGTTATTTTAGCTTCTTAACCAATATAGAAACAGGTTGCCTCAAAGTGGCAACAACAAGCTAAATCACATAGTCTGCAACAATATTTTTTATTCTTATATTAATAACACGTTATCAGTACGACCAATTATTCGCCCACACTATATTTTGTAAGGTTATAGATGCCATTAATCGTAAAACAAATAATGTATATGACAATATTTGTCTCATTGATAGTGCAACTATGCACACAATATTGAAATACAAAAAATATTTCTTCCACCTGAAGTTAGAAAAAGGAAAAATCAGTACAATAAATTGCAGTGCGACAATTGAAGGCTCCGAAAGACTCCTTATCTATTTCCTTGAAGGAATTAGATTTGAAATACAAAATTCATTGTTCTCGAGCAAAGCTTGAAGAAACTTGTTGAATTTTATTGATATTCGTAGAAATTGATATCACATTAAAACAATGAATGAGGTAAATAATGAATATTTGGTGATTACACGAATCTTCAATGGAAAAATATGTGTAATTGCAAAATTGTCCTAATTGTCCTCTGGCTTGTATTATGCCAAAATAAGTGTCGTTGAAACATATGTCATATACTTGAAGTCTATGCAATCAAATGACTTTTTAATTTTGCATGATCATCTCGGGCATCCTAAAAATACCATAATGAGGCGAATAATAAAAAACTCTATTGACCATTCATTGAAAGATCAAAAGATCTTGAATTCGAATGAATTAATGTGTGTTGCATACTCACAAGGAAAATTGATAATTAGGCCGTCACTAACCAAAGTTGGGACTAAATCCCCATCATTTTTTATGGTGCTCTTTGATGCATCGACGAGATGGTCACACATATGTTTGCTTGCGTAATTTAATATTTGCAAGGTTACTTACAAACATAATTAAATTGCAAGCACAAATTTCTAATTATCCAAGTCTCGATAGTGCTAGTGAATATTCATCACAAGCATTTAACAATTATTGCATGACTTTGCGGATAATTGTTGAACATCTTGTCCCTCATGTTTACATCCAAAATGGTCTAGTGGAATCCTTTATAAAAAAGTCTGCAATTAATTTCTAAACCATTGTTAATTAAATCCAAGTTTCTCGTTTTTGCTTTGGGATATTCAATATTACATGCAACAACAGTTGTGTGAATTAAACAGACAACTTATCATCAATACTCCCCAACATAATTAATGTTTAAAAAATAGCCCAATATTTCTCACTTGAGGATTTTTGGATGTGCGGTTTACGTACTGATTGCACCACCTTAACGTACAAAAATGGGCCCCCAATGTCGTTTGAGAATTTATGTCAGCTACGAATCATCGTTCACAATTAAATACCTCGAACTATTGACGGGTGATCTATTTACTACGCGATTCGCATATTGTTATTTTGTCAAAAATTTTGTCAACAAAAAATTTCTGACATTAGGGGGACAACAAAATCAACTGAAAAGGGATTTTTTTTAGAAAATACCTTTGAATTTCCTAGATTTTTATTCATGACAATGTGAGTTAGAAGTACAAAGAATTGTACACTTGCAACAAACTCCAAAAACAGTTACCAGTTGTATTTAATGACTAAATAATTGTACACTTGCAACAAACTCCAAATAAGTTACCTGCAGCAAATGCACCGACAAAAATAAAAGTTTTAGAAGAGTTTTAATGAATCTTCTGCGTGCTTGAAACGTGGCAGACCTGTGAGTTCCAAGGAAAAAAATTTTCTCGAAAGAAAGATGTATTGATTAATGATTCAATCCCTCAAATAATTTGTAGTGACAAAGAACAAATCCTTGAAGATGATACTTCTAAAGAGCTTACCTCAAAAGATTATGAAGTTATTGAAAATTCAATTAACTTCACAACTACAAATGAAAGTGGGAAACGAAAAGAAAAATTCATTGATAATATTTTTCCATACAACATGGCACTTGATATAATGAAAAATGATGAGGATCCTGAACCAACATCAGTTGATGAATATCGGAAAAGAAACAATTGGCCAAAATGAAAAAATGCAATCCGGTCTGAATTGGACTTACTGGCCAAAAGAAATATCTTTAGACCCATACTTTAAACATCATAAGGTGTTAAGTCCATTAGGTGCATATGGATATATAACAAAAAGAAATAAATATAATGAAATTTTCAAATACAAAGCGAGAATTGTAGTCAAAGGATTTTCACAAATACCTAAGATTGATTATGATGAAACATATTCTTCACTTATGGATGGTATCACATTTAAATACCTCGAAAACCTAGCATGCATGAAAAACTTGACATGCGTCTGATTGGTGTAATCATTGGTTAATTGTATTGCACATTATAAAATGATATTTATATTAAAAAGTTTTAAGGATACAAAATGTCTGAAGCACGCGAATCAAATCCCAAATAATATTATTCCATCAAAGTACAAAAATTTGTGTATGGACTTAAAAAGTCTTGAGGCATGTGGTATAATTACCTCACTAAGTGTTTAACCAAATAAGATTATATTAATGACCCAACATGTCTATGTCTTTTTATAAAGAAAAATAGGTCAATTTTTTTTTTTTATCATTGCAGTATATATTGAAGACTTCAATATTATCGGAACTCCTGAAGAGCTCCAATCAATAGTAGAATATCTTTAAAAAGAAATGCGAGATTAAAGACTTTGGCAAGACAAAGTTTTGCCTTGGTTTTCAAATTGATTATGTGGATAATGAAATATTCATCCACCAAACGTTTTATACCTAGAAGGTTTTAAACGATTTTATACGAATAAAAAATATTTATTGAGTACCCCAATAATCATTAGGTCACTTGATCCTAACAAAGATCCATTTAGATCAAAAGAAGATTATGAAAAGATTCTTATCCTGAAGTACCATATCTTAGTGCAATATGTGCACTCATGTACATAACAAATAGCATAAGGTCATATATTGCATTTGCAGTAAAGTTATTGGACAAATTTAGTTCATCTTCTACTAATCGACATTGGAATAGGGTTATGCATGCTTTGTGCTATCTCCAAGAGACAAATAATCTTGTCTTTGTTTTATCTAAGTAATTCTTAACACAAGTTACTAGGCTATGCCGATTATGGGTATTTTCCTGACTCGTACAAATCAAAATTGAAAATCGGCTATATATTTACATGTTGTGATACTATGATCTCTTGCAGGTCTACAAAACAAATAATAACCGTCACGTCATCAATCATGTCGAAGTATTGACTATTCATGAAACCAATCGAGAATGTGTTTGACTGATGTCAATGACCCATTATATTTGAAAGAATTATGGGATAATATTTAAAAATAAAAATCCTCCAACAATCATATATGAAAACAACGTGGTTTGCATTTCTGAATTAAAGTGTATATATATATTAAAAGAGATAGAATAAAACATATCTCATCAAAATTTACTTTACTCATAAACTTCAAAAGAATAGTGAAATCAATGTGTAACAAATCTGATCATCTGATAATTTTGCAGACTTATTACCAAAGCCCTACTAACACTAACATTCAACAAATTGGTGAAAGAAATTGAAATGCGTAGGCTCAAATATTTCAAGTAAAATCCAAATCAATGGGAGCGAAGCAAACCAAAAATGATGTACTCTTTTTTCTTCACTAGAATTTTTCCTAATAAGATTTTAACAAGACAAGTTATATATATAAATGCATCCAAATAGGATTATTATAAATATACGTATTGACTATATGGATGCATAATTTTTTGATACATATATATTGTGTTAGCAATGATTGTCCGTCCTTGTGTAATTTTGTGATATTTTTTACTTTTTTTTATTAGATGTTAGACCCACCA